CATATATTCGGGTCGGGTCGGGTAAAACTTTATATTTTATCGGGTCGGGTCATTTTTTTAAGTGTGATATTCGGGTCGGGTTCGGGTTTAGGGTGAAAAATACCCGACCCGACCCGACCCGAAAAAATATATAATTTTACCTTATATATTTAGGAATAATTATAATAATACCCCTCTATATATAATTTTTTCAATTAAGTCACTTTTTTTATTGAATAAAATAATTTTTTTATTATTTCGGGTCGAGTCGGGTTTCTAATTCATATATTCGGGTCGGGTCGGGGGAAACTTTATTTTGGTCAGGTCGGGTCGGTTTTTTTAAGTGTGATATTCGGGTCGGGTTCGGGTTTAGGGTGAAAAATACCAGACCCGACCCGAAAAAATATATAATTTTACCTTATATTTTTAGAAATAATTACAATAATACCTCTCTATATATAATTTTTTTCAATTAACTGTTTTTATTGAATAAAAATAATTTTTTTTATTATTTCGGGTCGGGTCGGGTTTCTAATTCATATATTCGGGTCGGGTCGGGTCGGGTCGGGTGAAACTTTATTTTGGTCGGGTCGGGTCGGGTCTTGGATGGAGGCTCCCTTGTTCTTGGGTCGGGTCGGGTGGACCAAAAACCCGACCCATGACCATCCCTAATTAGAATGATTTTAACTTATTATGTTTATTAGCATGATTTTTATAATTTGTTGAAATGAATAATCAATCAATAAAATTAAAATTTAATATTTTTTTAAATTTTTATAATATATTGATACATGTAATTTATAAAACAAACTAAAATTAAACAAAAAAAACAAGAAGGGTAATTCTATCATTTTACATTACTGAAATCAAATTCATCTTATATGTCTGGAATTGGATTTCAATTCCTGACAGATTCTAATTCCTTCACAGATTCCAATTCCCTTATAAACGCCACCTAACAAAAAAATGGACGGACCATAATTAATAAAGTATAAATTTTGAATATTTAAATAAAACTTATCAAATATTCTTAGTCATAAAAGAAAATATTATTTTCTTTAAGGATCACAAATTCGAGCTTTTGTGTTTGTATAGTATGTGTAAATTATAAATAACTAAAAAAATTCTAAACAAATATATTTTTTAGAATATTCAAAAAAATATTAAAACAATTCAAAAACAAAATATTTTATAGTTAGATTTACACAAATTTCAAACACTAAAATTATTTTCATTTTTTTCTTTTACTTTTTAAATGCCTTTGGCTTTTGAACATATCACCTAAGCGTAATATTAAAAAATAATAATTTTATGGTACTATTATAAGGAATTATCCTAAAACTTTGTGATAATATAATTTATTGTGTTTAATTTATTAAGAATAATTTTAATTTTTTTTTCAAATAACAAAAAACATTCTGCATAATATTTTCAAAATATCATAAATTACTTAATTTTTAAAAATAAATAATTTTCTAAAAATAATTTTTTGTCAACTATTTTTAGTAAAATAGATAGACTCTAAAATCTTGAATATGATTGGGATTATATTATGTCTCTATTTATATGGCCGGTGGCTAGCTACTATGTTAGGTAAAATTAGGTAAACAATGCAGGTAAAATAATTAATTAATAAAATAAGATATATTTAAATTTATTTTGAGATCTAAAGTATTATTACAATATAGGTGAAACTCGTCACATGAAGGTGACGAGTTTCATAAAATATGTGAAAAAAATATAACTCATCATATGAAATGAATCAAAATTGTCTCCACATGATGAGTTTCACACGCACCATAACAAATGACCTATATCACAAAATAATTCTCAACCAGTCTCATTTTTTTTAATTCTCCCCCGAATATATTATTTCCCTAATTTTGCCACTACGCGGTATCTGATTTCTTTTATTAAGATTAAAAAATTAAGAGCTTGTTATATTGATTAGGCATATATTAAAAATCACGTAAAACACTTGTTGAAAAAACAAATAACATATTTAATAGATAAATAAAACCCTAAAACATATATCTATTATGAACAAATTAATCAAATAAACTTAGTTTTTAAAAATAAAATACTGTTTACAATTATAATAACATCGTTACTCCTATTTAGTTGGGATGATACAAGGAGATTAAAACGAGGTGTTGTTCTAAACACGTTTTAAGTTCTTGCATTTTATCACAAATCATAAAAGAAGTTAAATATAATATTTCGTTTAAAAAATACGAGGACCTCGAATGCTATTTTACATATTATACATAATATCATTTTTTATAAAATTTGGTGCTTAAATCAACTTATTACTTTATCAAATATAATCTGTTATTATTCTTTTCGATTATATATATTATTTTTTATTTTATTCTTTCTAGTTCACATCCTTAAAAAATTTTAAGTTGTTCAATGGAAGATCAAGTATATATCTAAATTTTTTATAACAATGTTTTGAGAATTTTAGTTTATATGTATAGAAGTGATTGTTTTTATTTATGACATTAGAATTAAGTAAGTAAATTTTATATTGAAATTTGATTTTAAAAAATAATAATAAATAATTAGTACTTTATTTTAAATCAACACAAATATTTTTATGATTTTTTTAATAAAAAGGAAAAGCTAAAATATTACTAACGTTTCTAAGCCGCAAATAAGACGGACCATGAGGCATGAAAGTCTTTGTGAAGAATACGGTAAAGGTCGGTTAGAATAGAGTTGTAGATAGCTAGGGATTCATCTCCCTTGGATGTGTTCTTGGCCATATAGTCCCCTGTTTCATTAATTTCTCTTGCGATCAGTTTAAAGTCGACGTACCACGCTTTGTGACAAAGCTTAGCTATGATTCTCACCTGGAAAAAAGGACTGTCCAACGGCGGAGTCGGAGGAGAAAGTAGTTTCATAATGTCACTATTATCAATTTGCACGATAACTCGTTCAAAGTTATATTGCCATGCTAGGCTGAGTCCTTTGGAAACGCCCCATAGTTTATTAATTGATTTGATAGAATTCTATTGAAGATTTTTAAAATTAAGTTCTAAATCAAAATTGATAAAATTAGAACACAATACAAATGAAGTATAAAAAATATAATTTTAATACGAGTTTGTAACTAATCTGTTTCGAATGAAAATCATACAGGAAGGTTCACAAGTTTTATTCATACAAAAAGACCCACAAGAAAATTCTAAAAATAAAAAAGCTTAGAAATTTATTCAGAAAATGGATTGAGAAGTACTTTCACTCCCTGAAGGTTACAGAACAAAACGGATAAGAAAAGAGCAACCCCCATTTCTGTCATAAACGTCTAGTGTAACAACTGTTGATGAAACAAATTAGATTCATCGGTTATTAATTGTTAATCTCTTTTGATTCGAACAAATTATCACCGTCGATGAGAAAAAGATCGTAAGCTAGTGGCTAAACAAAAAAGATAACGAGTCATGGTAGAGAACTTAGTGATCATCGTCGATCAATGAGTTCGCAGAAGAAAGGTTTGAACATAAAAAGTGAAGAAGATGATGTCGAAATCATGAAAGATTCAGCTCCCACTCCATTCCCAGTTAAGATTATTTGTAGTGATCACAGGCTGATCAAATTTAAAAAATCTAGTAGTCAGACTTTAAACTTTATTCAGATACATTATGTGAACATGTCAAATGTTAAGATTTTTGTCTACACACTATAGTTAACTCAAGAGTCTATGCCTGAGCCTTTCACGGATTCTCCAATGAACGATGAAATTTGTATGAAGACCTTACCTTGACTTGGTGGAGTGCTGACAAGTCTTCTCCGAAGCTATAACGACAATAAATTCAATTTAGTGTTGATGAATCTATTTTTTAATATCACTCACAACTAGATATGTTTATTTATTAAACAAATAACTCGTACTCGACGAGTTTCGATTTGATTTGATATAGTAAGATTGAATTTTTTTATTTAAATATTAAGTTCAGATCAAATAGGATTTTGATATGAAAATAGTCAGATTCGAATTAAAATCAAATTTAGAATACAAAATACCAACCCGCCGCAACCAGAATAATTAATATATATTATTAATATATTTATAAAAATGTCATTATATACATATTATTTAGGGTTCACTTTTTTATTTCTTATTCCTTGAAACCGTTTTATTCTTTCCTCTCCCATTTTATTCTTAGGAAAATTCCTCAGAGGAAAATTTTTCAAATTATAAATTTATAATTATAAAAATTTATATCTTTTAATAATATGTTCAAGATTATTCCAACTCCAATTTTCTTTTTTTAGATCTTTGTTTTTCCGGTATTATTATTAGATCTTGCAAAATTCTTATCTTCAAACTATCCCATGCAAGCTTCTTCATCGGTGTTTGCTCCATATTTTGGGTCGGGTCGATGTTGAGTCAAGTTTTCACCTTAAGTCTTAGAGCGGGTATAAGACGATTTAAGTAACATAAATAATAGGGATATATTAAAGTTGGATTGATCAAAACCCGATCTAATCCAACTCATACTCATCTCTAATTATGAGTGAGCTGCCCAGACGTCAAGTGTCGGACCTGGATTCTACAATGAGGTGGAAGCAAGGACCATAGGGCGAGCTTCAAGAGGCACTGCACCAGCTGAATTTTCACAACAATTCATACTGTATAAGACAAGTTAATTCTCATATAAGAAGCTATTAACTTCCAACATGGATTAAAACAGTGTTTTTGCCATTGTTATAACCTCGTTTTCGGATTTAGAAGCAGCATGAAGTTGGAAACGAAAAGGGAACTTTTGAAGCAGTATCTCTGCGACTCAAAATCAGTTAAAGTCTTATCCCAATTGATTTGGGATCAGCGAACTATGTGATAAGTGATAACCCCACAATTATTCAGATCTAGATCGAGTTTAACTACAGAAAACGACTCTTGTGACCTAATTGAATAAAAAAAATGTAGCCAAATTAAAGAGAACCCCAATAAATAAAGAAAAAGAAAAGAAAAATTCAACTACAAAAGTATTTTCAGAAGAAATCAAAGAGAGTATTGAATCAGAAAGAACGTAGCGAAAATGTATTTTTTTGATCATATGAAAAAAATGTTGATCATCACCCGTCAATTTCTTTCATCATCTTCATAATCAAAATCAAACAAAAAAATCAAGCAGATAGCTAATCGAAAATTAAAGCTTTCAAATCGCGTTAATGGTGAAAGAAAACAATTTTCCGAATTAAAACCCTAACCAAGGAAAGGAAGAAACAATGAGGGACAGGGAAAGGAGAGGAGGCCAGGCTTGGCTTTAATAGAGAGATGGAGTGAAGCCCTAGAGCGAAACGGCGTCGCCCCTTTCCGTCTGATTGTTTGGTTACAGGGATAGGATTATTCTCCAATTATGCACAAATGAAAATCACGAGTAAAATTCTCTAATGTGAATGTGTTCATCGATCGAATGAAACCAAATTTATTAACAATAAGTTGGTTTGGTATAATAAAAATCAATCATTAAGTTTTTTTTTTATAAATATTATTTAAAATTTAAATTCTAAACAGAAAAAAATAATAAAAATTATTCTTAGAAGTGTTTTTACTATACTAAATCTATATTTAAATAATAATTTTACTTATATTAAATACTTTATAACATTATTTATGTTTTTATTTATATTTATTGAATATATTAATACCTTCTAATAAAAAGACGATACATCTCATTATTTATTCGAGAAAAAAATAGAAAAATAACAAGAAAATCAAACATATGTTTGATAGGAGAGTAATTCAACACCTAATCATTGAGTCAAATCCTAAAATTATTACATAGTTAACAAAATTAAAATTTAGGTTAATTTAAGAGTGAAAATAATTTTATTTAATATATTAATATTTAAATAACAAAATATTATAAAATAACAATTTTATATTATAAGAATATTTTATTAAATTATTTTCTTAACTATATTCTTAAAGACTTAGGTTTATTCATATTGATTTATATCATTTTTTTCCCTCCTATAGATGATAACATGTGTCATCTTTTTATTATATGATATTAATATATTAAATAAAAATAATAGATTAGATTATAAAAATTAAAAAATAAATTAAATTTCAGATTAAATAAACTTATTTAAAGATTAAACTAAACAAAAATAAAATTTAAAAGATATAACATGTCATTTACCCTTTTCATTGAATTTAAACAGTGTAAATTGTCATATGGCGTATTCTGATATGTTGAACTATTCTTCTAATATGCATTAAAAATAAAATAACTAAAATAATGTTTTAAAATTAACGAGATAAAACATCCACAAAAACTTTAAGGATTGTTTAATAGAAAAATATAGGGTAAAGTATATCAATGGTACTTGATTATAGGATGTTGTTTTATCGAGTTATCGATTATTAAAAGTTATAAAATGTTTCTCCGATAATAGGGTATTATTTTGTTGAGTTCGCTAACTATTAAAAGTTATAAAATGAGCATCGACTATTCATATATTTCAACCTCTTCCTTATCCGTTAAAAAATTCATGATCGTCCAAACTGGATATTAACATGCTGAGTGGAGTGTGATAAAATCATATTTTAATGATGTTTACTGATATTGAGGTTAAATATGTTAAAATTTTTATTATTTTTCAAAATGTTTATATAAATATAAAATATGTTAAAAAAAATTATGATTGAAAACAAATGGAGCATAACACAAATATATAATTCTATTATCTTGCAGAAGTTATGTTTCTAAATAATTCCAACATGCACATACAGTTGCAAATGATTGGTTGAAATTTGTAAACAACTCCCCTAATCATTTGTTTGCTAAAAACAAAGGTAAACTACAAATTTAATATCTAAATCATTACTTTGTTTCATATTGGTACTTAAATTTTATTTTTTTGAAAATCATACCTAACTATTTATTTTAGGTTTCATTTTAGTACCCTATTTTTAAAATTTTAACGATAATGTTGACTCATCACCATAAGACAATATCACATCGTCATTGAAAAAAAATAAAAATGTCACATCAACAGTTATGTTAATTTTCTAACGACGGGTATCAAATTGAAACCTAAACTAACCGTTAGGTATAGTTTTGAAAAAAAAAATAGGTACCAAAGTAATAGTTTAGATATTAAACATGTAGTTTACCCTAAAAACAATTGTATATGTCCCGTGACATAGGTGACTTTAAATATAACTTAGCGTGGGGTGCAAGAAGTAGATTCAACTAATAACTATTTTATTGATATAGTAAGCTAATTACACCATTGGAAACTTGTGTCATTTTTTTCCCATGGTCAACTCCTTTGGAATTAATCCTTCAAAAGTTTAAAAATTTTAAATTTATTCGAATAAAAATTTAAAATTTTAAAAATATATTTAAATAAAAATTCTCATTTGAGAATATTAAAATTTATTCATTCTAATTATCTGGGTTTGACTCGAAAATATAAAACTCTTATTTATTTAATTTTTAAAAAACTTAATTTTTATTTAAACATATTTGAAAACATGAAATCTATTTATGTATAGCAATCTCTAAAAGGGTAGACACTTTGTTAAATATTTATGTGATTTATTAATATGGTGGAAGGTGGCGTAGGGTGCAAGTAGCCTAAATTATATATATATATTTATAAATTTGAATTCCTTCCTTCACATCTTCATCTCCTTGTTTTAGCTTCTCTTTGGAGGTGTAAAATGGAGTTCATTGAAGGTATGGTTTCTCTTCCATATTTCAGCATCAATTTATCTGAATTTTATTCATTTTTCAAATATGAATTGGCCTTAGCTACCAGTTCTAATTGAGTTTTGTATAAATGGCTGTAATTTCTTCGTCAACCAGGGGCAGAAACAATAGGTACAGACTCAATGGGAGCTAATATCAGAGAAATTGAAGCAGTAGTAATTGACGAAGGTGAAGGCGACGCCAAGTGTTTGAAAGAATGTGCAAGTGGGAACTTGGTTGAGGAGCCGAAAATGGCTGTTGCGGATGAAGATCATGTCTGCAAGAAGGTTCACAAGTTCTATTTCGTCAAGGTTTGGCCCTACAATAACCAAAAACAAAAATTAAAAATCCAAAAAGTCGAGAGGTTTATTGAGAAACTGGAACGAGAAAGAAATTCGATCCCGGTACCAAAAAGGGTAAGCGATGAGAACTTCTAATCGAATTTGAAGCATCTGAAATGCTAATAGAATTTGATTTCTATCATTCATTTATATATGGCGGGTCTTGATGACAGTCACAATTATTTTTATATGGTAAACAATTGGGACGACTAAGACGTCAAAGTTGGGACCTTGATCATGCACTGAGCTGCTCTCAAGGAATATTGAATGATCTTGAAAAAGCATTCAACCGCTCCAAATTCCAAAATAATTCATATAACAGAGGTTTAAGCTCTCCATCACATCCTAATTTTCATGTAAGAATGAAGTGCCTGATTCTATATCTCAGAACTTGTACCCAAATTTTAATTAAATGAGTCTCTTATCTTTCTCATAACCTCATTTTTCGGATTCAGATCACTCCGCGACTTCGTGTACTACACGGAAACAGTACAAAGTTGGCAACAGAGAGGGAACTTTTAAAACAGATCTCGACGACTCGAAATCAATTACCGGCTGATGCCGATATTCATCGTGGTTCAACTCATTTCAAGGAAATGATTAATGGTTTCGTAAGAATTTTCGAACTTGTTTACGTAAATTATCGAAAATCAGATGGGGATTACATTTTTATGAAGTATTGTTGAACTTGTTTATAGAGGGACATGTAATCCTTGATTTACAAAACCCACAATTCGATTTCTGGCTTATCTGATATATGATTGTTTTGTTTGGAATGGAATGGAATGATGTTGAAAACATTATTGAATCTCGTTGTCTGGTTTTATGGGAACTCTGATGCAGATTCAGTGGTTTTGCAAACAAAAGCAAGGCGACGCAAGGTACAAAAAATTCTTCAAAAAGTTCAAACGCTTAGAAAAGAAAATGGAGAAATCTATTGCGGCTGCTACTCTACAGGGACAGATATTGAACCCTTGGACTTCAAGAAACACCATAAAGGAGTATATCACTGTAAGAAAATCCTATTCCTGCTGTTTCCCATCATTACTTTAATAGCAAGTTATCCAAGTTTAAGTGTCAAATACGGATATGTATTGAATAAAATATAATTGAAGGGTAAGCATCCTATTGATTTGGTTTCAAATAGAACTCGTTGAATCAAATTGATTAGCTGAAAAACTGAATCCAACTATGTTATATCGATTCTATTTGCTTTAACCAATTATAGATTAGTTCGATCTATTCTGTTATCAATGAACGACTTATACACAAGTCTTTTATCACTCTACTTGTGGTTGAACCCACTGTAATATGAGGTGATTGATAATTATTATGTTTATTGTGTTGTTGCAGTTCATAAAAGGGCTATATGAAGAAATAGAAGAAGACCAGAAAGAAAAGACGGATAAAATTAAGCAAGAAGAGACAGAGTGGGAGAAGATTGTTGAAGAGATGCGTATGTGGGCACCTCAACTCAGTGCTAAATATTACAGAAAGATAGAAGCAGAAGAACGCCTTCTTAATCTCAGGAAACGCCTAGAAGGAGCTGTACGTATACTTTTTCATATCAAATCAAAATTTTCCCAATGGTTCTTAATTTCTCATAAACCATTAAGGCATCGAACTGTGCAACATAAATTGGTTTTCTCATGTTGGAGTTGAATTTGGACTCGATCTAAGTGGTTCGAGTCGATGTGGGTTAATATGGTTTGGTTCGATCGGTTGAGTATTAATTTAGCTATTGTGTTTTGCAATTAAAATAGGATGTCATGTACGATGAATATTTGTCACTTATAACTAAAGCAAGTGATGCTGCTGGGAAGAAAGACGTAGCAGCCCTGGAACAACTTTCTCGTGTGCAGGTTCTGTTTCTAATTCCAATCACAGATATGATTTTTGATGGCTATCCTCTTACTTTCTTTATTGAAATATTTAGTATTAATTTTCTTTTATTGAACCTGACAATGTTTGATATGTAAATTAGGTTGATAAGTTCATGTGTGGATGGAATAACAGTAGAGTTTTCAGAAGAAATTATGTGAAAAGATTATTGCCATCGCTTGTGAATCGAGAGTTAAGTTTTGATGGACGGATGAAGAACCCTGATGATGAAGAACCCATTTCTATCCATATCTAAGAAATAGATCAAATTGATTTTATGGATTATAATAAGTTGAGATTTTGTCTCTTTGTTTGTATTATCATGCAGCTTTGCAAATGAAACTGGAAGACTATGAATAAACTACAATTTATCAAGTCGAAAACGAAAAAAAGAAGGAAAATTCAACAAAGGAATTAAAATAAAAACTCTGTGAAGAAGGAACTAGAGAGTATTGAATTAGAGAATAGGGGTGTACATCTGATTAAATGAGAGAAATTGAATCGTCCAAATAAGTAGGAAAATGAATACCTGATCACTTGAAGAAAACTACAATAGCACTAATTTTTTTGTAAATTCATCCTAAAACGCCATTTTCTTTAATATCTTTAAGAGATCGCAGAATATCCATATCATATAATAATTTTTGTATACAAGAAAAACCTAAAACTAGCATATTGTTTGAAACTACAACTTTCTTTTGTAGAGTTGTTAGTAATTTTAGGTGAAAAATATGATCATTTTGCATATGAGTAATGGTTTCTCCCCCTAATTCTTCAAAAAAGTTTACCTAAATAATAATGTTGTTTTGACCATGATAATTTTGGATAAATAATGTCTCTTTTAAAGATGAATTGATAGTCTCAATCAAATTGGTGGTCATATAACTATATATTAATACCCTATCGAATGCATTAGTACATATATTTCTCATTTATATATATAGTTATAGTATTCAGAATTTTTCACTTTCAACTCTTCTAACATATCCTCAAATCGATTTGGTATGAGTTCATACCCTAAGAAATAAGTGTCAATTAATTATAGAATAAATATATGAAAATATTATGTCGAGTGAAATTGAAAAAAAAATGATATGTATCCATATCGACCTTGATTTAGAAATTCCGGGTGGGTGTTTCTTGGCTAATGCAGGTAGCAAGCTTTGCAACGTCAATGCTGAGAACATCGGAATCCATAGCAGCAGCCTTCTTCACATTAGTTAGCTCCCCACTTAGACCAGAAACTACTTGCAGGCCAAGCTTCCTAAATTCAACATCATCCTGAAAATCAGATTGCTGAGTTTTCTCGACTTTCAGATTTTGATTGGCACTAGAAAGGCGAGAACCTTCAGCTCTGATGATTTCCTGCACAACAAAATGCAGAAGTGTGGTTTTCCCATCAATGCCCTTTACATCAACAAGTTTTAAGAGCGTGTTAAGCTTGAAGGCATGGGCATCGCCACGATTGGTGCCGACATTCATGCGGTTCCCAGCTTTGAGCACTGCCTCCAAAAGCTTCAGAAACATTCTACTGTTTCTCAACTCTTCACATGCAGCCTGCAGAGGAGAAATACGTTGCATCAAATAGAGACTTACGACAAAACGGTAGATATTTCAAAATGGTAAACTGAAATATCGAAATCCTTCATTTAAATCAGTACAAGACCATATATCAAGAGTAACAGTTATGAAAAGAACGTCGAGATCATGAATACATGCAGCATAAAGCTTTATCTAAAGCAAAATGGTGAAACAATGCATGGTTGCCCCCAAAATATTATTGACTAAACACGGCCTTCTTCTCCATATAGCTTGATTACCATAAGCATTTCCAGACAAGACAATTATGAAAGTCTTTTCTTCCTTCTCGGCACTTATTCTGAATATTTTCAATGCAAATACAGGAGTTCAACAGTTCTCTATTTCCCCAATCCTTAAGTTGAAATCCACCCGAGGATGACCAAATCTCATTTACAAGTGATATAACATTGAGCAAACTACGTGTAATACCACATAGAAACTCTCAACAGATGCAACGATTACAACCATAGGGTTAAATCCAAGCATCAGGTTTTGAATATTACTTACCTGTAAAATTTCAAAAGACCCTTTCAGGTACTCAATTTCAGAGTCAAAATTAGCGATGTAGAGCAAAGGATTGACCCTCTTGAAGGCGAAAGGTATGTTGAGCACAGCCTTGAGGAATTTCTCGGCTGGACCTAGCTTAGAAGGGGATTCATCATTGAGCTCCTTCAGTCTACGCTCTTCTTCTTCGGTTGGAGCCATCTTTAATAGACTTTCCAAGAGCTCAGTCCCAAGAGTGTCTGAATTACCTGTTTGCAAAGGGAGTTAAAGCAGTTTAGAGATGAAATTGGGATTGAGACAGAAATGAGGTCAAGATGAAGCAAGTGATGGTGCAAAGAAACACTTTAAGAAGAACATCAAATACGCTGCTATTTTCTCCACAGATTACCACCGGAACCACATCAAAAATGTATATACACGGTAAATTGTATTTGCCGTGAAAAACGAATACTACCTTCCATAAGCGCTTCACAGACTTCATCAATGGTCACATTTAGTGCCCTCAATAAAATGGCAATGTTCTGAGACTTCTTCGGATCAAGCACATGATTTTCCGGGTTCCCAGCGGGTAGGATCGACCGCTGAGCAGTATCTTTCACGGCTATATTTGGGTTATTCACCATAAACAGTGTCTCAACCATTTCCTCATTCAATCTGCAATCAACATTATAGCATTCTACAGCTTAAAAAAACATTCAAAATGAAATAAACATAGACATAAAAGTAATTCAACACCAAAACAAGAATAAAATATAAGCAAATTTGATATATTATCCGGACAACAAAGCCGACACCACTAAACTAATTATTAATAAAAGAGGGAAGTGAGTATCTCACTGAAAAGAGCTTGCTTTTATCTGATCCCACACCATGGCCCGATCCCAACTCTCTCGAACTTTATCCCAATGTAGAGGCTTCAGTTTCGGTTTTGGGGTCTCTTCACTTTTCGAGCTTGCTATTTTCTTCCCTTGAATTAGTCTCTGGAACAGAGCTCACCTCCATAGGAACTTCCAAAAAACGCAACGGAGGAAACAGAGGAGGTGGTGGCGGAAGCTTTCTAAGCAGTGATGAGTGTTCAGAATCGGTAGTATTTACCCGTTAATTCTTCGATTTTATGAAATTATTATTGTTAATTTGATTGTGTTATGCTTGTTTTCGTGCAAAGTCTTACTTTCTATAATTAGTAGTAAAACGGATGCATTTTGTATTTTTTATTATTTGGTCACGGCTAGAGATATGGGCACGACTCTGAACATGACATGGTCTGATATGACAGTTTCTAGAAGGTCCAGTTAGCGGTAGTTTCTAGAAGATCTAGTCAGCACGTCTTCTATAAGATGAAAGAGCAAAGTTGCGTTAGGAGACTTGTTTAAAGTTTGAATTTAAGAAAAACAATTGTAGACACCTATTTTCGTCTGATTTTTATTTATATATACATATTTATATATTATATAGTTTACAAATGTTTTAAAATACATATAATATATATAATTTTGAGAATAGCTTTTTGAAAAGTATATATTATATGATATATAATATATGTTTTTTTCGAAAACATTTTAAAAATATATATAATATATAGTCTTTGAAAACATTTTGAAAATGTATAATATATATATATATATATATATATATATATATATATTTGAAAACGTATATAATATATAGTTTTGAAAAACATTTTTGAAAATTTATATGATATATAGTTTTGAAAACATTTGGAAAACATTTATATATTATATAGTTTTTTAAAAAATATTTTAAAAATATATAATATATAATTTTTTTAAAATATATATGTTATATAATTAAAAAAACATTTTGGAAATTATATATTATATGTTTTTTAAAATATTTATATATATATTATTATATTATTATTATTATTATTATTATTATTTATTATCATTTATTATTATTGTAATTATTTTATTTATTATTATTATTTCTTATTTAATTATTTTGTTCTTGTTTTTCTGTTCAGGGTCTAGAACGAGGTCCAAGCAGATCAGGTGGGCCTGACCCAACCCAGTTGCCAAGCTAGGGTTTCTAAACTTAGTCCCAGCGCCGCACAACTTACAGCCGTTAGATCAAGCAGTGATCAACGGCTCAAATCACATGATAACTAGGGTTCTGAATCACTAAATATTTCATCAAATGAGCAGCCAGATCTGGACCGTTGGATCTGACCCAATCCAACGGCCAGAAGCAATTTCAACGGCCAGAAGCATCAGCCGTCACCGGAAATGAAACCGGTCAAACATGCAACAAACACGTTCCATAACAGAACGCAAATCTCGCAAGAATCGAGTCACAACAGCTCAGTCTCCCACAGGCCGAAAATTGCGCCACCACACGGGACTGACCCATCCCGTGAAGTTCGGTAACGCTCACCGGCCGAGAGAGTATAAATACCCCCAGACAGAACAGGACAGGGGAGAGGGAGGAGAGAAGACAGAACTGAGGGAGAACCCACACGGAACCACAGCACCGAACACCACACAGTACACTGCTGGAGAAACACAAGCATCATCGAGAGATACCGAGAACCATCGACCACAAAGCCGATCTACACAGAACAATACCCAAAACCACAAACACAAAAAACAACAGAAACCAAAAGCCAAAGCAACAATCACTAGAAAAATCACAGAAAATCGAGGGTTACTCGGTTTTGTTCATCGAGAGTACGCAAGAGCCTAGCCATAACCGGGGAGTGGTCGGAACTCAAGAGACGTCGGTTTTAAAGGGTAAAAAAACTGAAACTTACACTTTAGATCTGCGTCGTTTTGGGGATATTTGTGGGATTTGGACTTTGGATCGACGCTCGGGGTATCAAGGAGAGTGTTCTGGGCTTGTTTAGATTTTCCGCCCACCCGCTGGCGGTGGCCGGCGGCGGCGTTTGACGGTGGCCGAAAATCGCCTGGGTGGAGAATGTCTCCCGTTTGAGAGAGATGAGGCTTCTGAGAAAATGAGAGAAATGAAGTGTAATGGGGCTCATTTGGGCATTTATATACGAGGGACCATAGTGCAAATAAAGGATTTTTAAATCCTTTCCGCCGTCCTTGAACGTTTGAATCGTAATTCAATTTGGTCACCATCTGTAAATTTGCCTCCATATTTCTAATTTAATCAATTTGGTCCCTGCTTATATTTTTTATATTTTGTGAA